ACCAAATGGAAGTTATTATCCCCTTGTGCAAGAACTTTTTGAACTAAAGCAGATTGAAATTTACAACCTTACCTAATGCCACAAAGGCAAGGTGTGAACACTTATAGATAAGAATGACTGATTTACAGTTCGGCTTTTGTATATGGGACAGATTCTCATCTAGTTTACACTGCAGAATCATAAAGATCTGTAATTGTTTGTGCTGCCTCTGTACTGTTCCTAAAAATGTTTGAATGGCAGTAATATGAATGCAGTATCTCAAAAACTTTGTCAAAACAAATATCCAGAATGCCAATGCATTACATCTTATTTTAGTAACAAGATTTTATTTACACAACACATAGAAGATGGAGTTAAGAGTCTGCTATAATGTGACATGTAAAGAACATTTCTTAAAACTCCACGTTTCTCAGACCCAAGCATATAGACACTTTTGGTTATCTTTTGGGAACCCTTTCAAGTTATGTTGAGATTGTGCCTTGAACTCTTTCCAAAAACCAGCACTGTACTGAATTATAGTAATTAGAAAATTGTGTGTATAAAAGGCAGTGCACTGATGTATTGTTTTTTAAAAGAAAATTCTCCAAATAATATATGTTCAATATGTTCTCACATAATTAACATTCCCCATCATTAGTAGCAGTTTACAGTTTATGTACCGATAAAACAATAATATTCACCAATGCTTCAGAGTCTCCAACAATATCATTTTAATGACTTTGGTAACTAGACATAACTCTGGCTCTAAAAATATTTTGGGCTTCCACATATTTCCTCTCAAAACATGAGATATCAGTTTGCAAAAAACAAAAAACAAAAACAAAGACTGTTTTATGTGTATGACTTGTGAAAATCAAATTGACACACAGGTTAGAAGTGTAAGAAGCCCATTTTGATTTGTAGAAACATTCACATTGTCATTCGCATTTGTTAACTATGCTTAACTTTTGGTCAAAAGAAAACTCCCTCAGTGCTGAAATGTAGATTGCAACATCCTTGAAACAGATACATATTTTGTTCTTTTGTTGTCACATATATTATAGGAATAATTAATTACTCAGTTCAATTATTATAAGCAATCCATTAACAAGTACTCAGTTTTGAATAAACAGGTTTTTTTTAACACAAGGTACCTTGGGATAACTCCTAGGTGAGAAACAGTACTAATAAATGCTATATATTATGCCTATGACCTAAGAATTATTATTATTATTATTAAGAAGCAAATATTTGTGAGTTCTCTCATAAGCAGCCCTGATAAGCACTAAGCATGATCTGTAATCTTGAATACTCTCCCTTTCCACCCCTAAAATTAATTGAGAATTTAGTGATATCAACTTGTGTGAGATGCCTTTTTTAAATAAATCCAAATTAATCATCTCAATTCCAAACAACATTATGGGGTGAGTTTTTGATAGCTAGATCTCCCAGTCCTCCAGCATCAGGAAATTATGGCCAGGTGAAGGCATGCCAAAAGTTGGACCTATCCAACACTGCAAGTCCCACTAGGAGAGTAGGGTAGTAAAGAACTAGAGTAGCTGTTAGAGAGTGACCATGTTTCTCCAGAATATATGATACATGGCCATACGTTAAAAGAAGACATGAGATTTTCATATACAAACTAGCATCTAGATATATACCCTTATGTAGTTCCTCACTAAAAAGGCCATGGAAATCATGGTTGATGGAAATTTGGAGCAGCTAGGTGTTGTGTATAAGAGATGGTATTGAAATAATGGAACTCAATGTTTTGAAGGAAATATGTAACTGTCACACTTCTAAACAACAGTTTATCACTTCTACAACTTAGTATTGCTTTGAACTGGGGGATAAATGCATCACACTCCTGAAGTCCTTCCTTAGTTAACTGATTTACTCCCACTTATTGTTCACACTAACAGCCATCAAAGCCCTATAATAATTGCAGCAATGTGTCTCACAAGTAAAAGGTCCAATTTGAGGGAAAGCAATAATTTAACCAAGGTAAGATAAATTAACAACCAGAATCATCACTAAGATAATAATTAGACAAACTAAGAACTAAAAAACTTATTGTAGTGGATTATAATTTTGATAGAAGATGTGTCTCCAAATTAAAGCTTTAGGATACATTCTTATGCAATCATGGCAAATTGTAATTTATGTACATGTATTTAAGTCTTAAAAAAAAATCTTTTCCTCTTTGGTGCTTCCAGTTATAGTCACTTAAATTCCTGTAGAAGTCCATGGAGGTACACACAATCTAGAATCTAATTTCTTTTAGAAACTATGCTTGTAGAGAAAACAGTACTTGAGGGAAGGAATTAAATTATACAGGTTACACAACTAGGTGATAACATAAGTATCACTCACAATTCAGATCCACATTGTATTTATTTATTTAAAACATCTATATTCCGCCCTTCTCACCCTGCAGGGGACTCAGGGCAAAGCACAACATATATATGGCAAACATTAAATGTCGGAACATAAAACCATAAATATATACAAACATTAAAATCACTTATATCCACTTTAAAATCAGTTGCTTAAAAACCATCTCTGGACACTGTTCTATTATCGCCTACATTCTTCTTTTCTAATTTCATGTACCTGTACATCTTAAAAGTTCTAATCATGTGAACTTAAACACACAGAGACCCACACATGCATGTACACACACATGCACACAGACAAATCAGTTTTACATAAAAGCCCTGATGCAAGAAATTTTTCAATCTCAACCTAAAGAGATAGTCAAAGGCACAAAGTATGTATCACAGAAAGACATCTGGGATACATACTATATCTTAACTTTTTAAAAAATAGCACACATCTTGAGCTGTATATTTCTTATTGTCATCCCCAAATACATGCTACACAAGTATTCGGGTAACAATGTTCAGGATTATGTTTACCAGTTTCATTTTTCACCAAACAATACAAATTTATTTACCAACTTTCTGCCACTGCATAGTAGCCTTAGTATACTCTTCAGGAGCTCCATTCAATAATTTCCTGGTCTTGCATAACTAGAAAACTGATTGGGTCCCTGTTGCTCTAAAGCATTTTAAAAGCAGCTTTTAAAATAAACAGGTTTTTTTGGTTATTGCTGAGTTGCAAAACTTTAATTGTGGGACTAAATCTTTTTTACAATGTTTTCCTGCCTCTAAGTAGTGGAGTTTAACTTTCTTTATAGAAGTAAACTATCACAATTACTAACAATCCCTTCCCAGACCCAGTTCATATTACTAAAAGGTTCAAATCACATGTAGATACAAACGTTCCTCAAATACCAAAAATCCTCCAACTCAAATTCACCAAGAGCCCAGTTCTCACTTGTGCTAAGCCTCATTTTCCCTACTGTTTACTGAATTTCCTTAAAGCAGATTCTGTTCTTCACAAAACTCCATAAAAATCTAACATTTCACTCCAGTCTAATCACTGTAATAAGTTTAACAGAGAACTCACAGGTTTTGGCTCTGATTTAGAAGACATGTTACCTATCACGTGAAGCTGCTGTTTTTCACATGTTTACATATTTTCTGCATAACCAGGCATCTAAAATTATTATTAATATTGGGGAACCCTAACAATGAGATAACTATCTTATTAAACTCAGTAACATTCCAAAGAGAAAAAGTGAGGGAGGTTGAAAAACATGACAAGAGATCGAAATCTGTTATTAAACAATGTACTGGTTATGCCCTGCATTAAAGGGCAAAGTAATGCGAATCCTCAATGTGTAAGTGTTCATCAGTGTTCATCAATCAATAAGTACATTACAAACATGCACTCAAAAATGATCTAACATGAACTGTGAAAAGTTTTGCAAATGCCAGTATCTTTGCTTTCAAATGCAACCAAGTTGAAAATCAGTTCTAAAAGTCAAACAGGCCTCCGCATCTTCCTCTTTGCTTTCTGGAGCGAGTTATGAATTCTCAACATTCCTTTCAAAAAATAGACGTGCAGTGCAGTGTTCGCATTACAGGGACAATAAATGAGGCAATGTAACGTTGCCCTCTGAATTATCTGGAATCTCTCTAGTGTGTACTATCAATATAGTGTAATGTCCTTGCACTGGTATTCCCCAGCTATTTATAGAGATGGCAATACACGATGTACCCAAGGGCAACCATTCCAAATTTAGGAAGACATTTCTTTTCTTTTCTTTCTTTCTTTTTTAAGCCTTGCATGATAGAAGATTGTGTCTCCACTTTTACTATTTGTGTTGCTGCTGCTGCTCTGTAAATAATCCTCTTTCGCTTTCATGCATTCCAGCCACCAAGAGGTGTACATACCAAGGCAAAACACACACTAGACTCAGCTAAATATGAATGTTATTTTTCTAAAAAAAACTACCATCCATCTACCCTGATACTTATTTTGAAAACTCCAGCAAATAATGTAATACTTGCCATTATCTGACCCCTTCTACACTGCTGAATAGAATCCCACATTATCTGCTTTGAACTGGTAGTGTGGACTCAGATATATGGTAGTGTGGACTCAGATATTTCAACTCAAAGCAGATATTCTGGGTTATTCTGCCTTGATATTCTGGGTTATATGGCTGTGTGGAAGGACCCTCTGTTACAGTATTTCAGATTTGATATGCATACACAGATCCTGAGCCCCTTTATTCTTTAGAAAAGAAAAGTAGATAAGCCAAAACTCTTTCTCAGGGGCTCCTAACCTTTTCTCCCATATACTGATAATGGTGACTTATCAACATATGGGAGGAAATGGTAGGAGCCCCCGAGAAAGAGAAAGATAACTAAGAATATCTTCTTTGAGGTGGAATATCTGAGTCCACACTACCATATATCCCAGTTCAAAGCGGATAATGTGGGATTCTTTTCAGCTGTGTGGAAGGGGCCAGAGTTAGTCAGATCAGCTATGTTTTCTTTTTAAAGCTAGGAAATGTTAGACAAGGAAGAGATTTCAAAGCACTCCCGTCCCCAAACACACACACACACACACTCGCCAAGCATCAGAAAATATGGAACATGCCTGCTTACTAAGTTTCTGAGACTTTTACAGAGGCCACTATTCATTTCCCCAACTCAAAGCAGAGGCTTGCTTCTAACGCCTGAACAACTCTCTTGAGAAACAGGTGGGCTGGCATTTCTTTTGTTCCCTCAATATATTTTTTTGCACGGTGACATCAGTCGACATGAAATAAACCAAGCCCAGCCAGGATTATGTGCTCGCAAAGATCAGAGAGCGAGTTTGGCTGAAGGCAGGATTGCTTCTTGAACTTTCCTTTGGATTTGGATCAGCTCGCCTCCTTCCCTCCCTCCTCCCTGCAAGTCGACTTCCTTTCTTTGGGAGTGTAAATTCAGTGAACAAAGAGGGCAACTACAACTCCCTTTTGAGCACCAGGCACACGGAAGGGAAGGAGTTCGCAGGAGTTTGCCTTCTCAAAGGGGAAACAAATAATCCCAGGGTTCCTATGGAAAGGCAGCTCCCTCTCTCCTCCTCATTCCCTTTCCTCTCCTTGTTTTGGAACTGTGACTTTTGTCTCTCTTTTTTGGACACAATGTTTCTGCTGACTCTGGGAAATTTTCCACTTGGATGTGCAATTTCCCCAGCAGTTGGAACAGCAGCAGCAGCAGCTCTGGAGAAGGCAAGGAAGCAAGCAACGAAAGAGAACATTCCTCCCTTCATCTTGGAGTTTTGATTGTTTATTTTTTTGGCGAGGTGGAGGGGGGGGGGGTCGGATTTAAATTAAAAAAGAGGCGGGGAAGCCAAACTCTGAAATCCTTGTCGGTTGAGATCCGGAAAGGCCGAGCTTTGGGAGAGGAAACTCCAAAGGGGAAGGAGGGGGTGGTTGGGCTTTGCGAGGCCCGCTCGGCTCCTAACTTCGTCCTTCGGGGCGAAAAATGTGAAAAATCCCAAAGATTTGTGTGTGAGTGAGAGAGAGGGAGGGAGACAGGGCGCGTGCGCGAGGGAGGACGGGAGCGCGCGCGCGCCTCCGGGCCGCCAAGCAGTGACTCAGGCGCAAGGCGAGAGCAGAGAAGCAGCAGCAGCAGCGGACGCCTGTTGCAGCCCGGGAGGAGGAGGAGGAGGAGGAAGGGGAAAAGCCCCTCAAAGCGGCCCAAACTCCGCGGGAAGCAACTCCCCCCTCCCCCACCTCTGACCACGGAGCTCTCCAACTCACCTTCCCTAAGCACCTGGGGGAGGGAGGTGGGGTGGGGGGGGGCAAAAGGAGGGAAGAAAGGAGCGGGGCCTCGGCGGGATTCTCCCCCAAGTCCTGAACCAGCGCCTTGCCGGCCCTCTCCGCCCACTCCCCATTTCCCCGCGGCTTCCTCGCCACACAAAGCCCGGAAGGCCAGGGCAGAAGCGGCTCCTTCCCGCCACCTCTCCCTCTCTCTCTCGCGCGCGCCCTCCCTCCCTCAGAGCCACACAGATTTGACAAAACACGCCAAACTTACCTCCACTCCACTCCCCACTTTTGCAACCGCGAATTCGGTGGCAAACTTCTTCCCGCTTTATTTTCCCCTGTTGGGGAGAATCTTTTTTGTGTGTTTGTGTATGGCTCGCTTAAGAGGTGGTTGTGGATTGGTTTTGCGGTTGTCCTGATGGTCGTTGGATCAATATACCTCTATGTATATTTTCCAAAACATAAATTATCTTGTGTGTGTGTGTGTGTATATATGTGTATGTATATATATATATGTATGTATGTGTGTGTGTGTGGAGTCTACCGCTTGTTGGCCGGCGGGATTATGGAAGCCCTTCAAGGGAGGAGGAGGAGGAGGATGACGGGCTGGGCTTGAGCGGCGCGAGCGATGCGAAGAATGTTCGGAATGAGGAGAGGAATGAAATGAACGCGAGGAGCGGACTCGCGACACGGAGGAGGGAGGGAGGGAGGGGGCAAGAGGGGGCGGGGCCACGGGCCGCCACAGCCAGGCAGGGGGCGGGGCCGGAGAGCAGCTGGTGACCTCATAGGAAAGTCCGAGGGAGGGAGGGGGAGGAAGGCAACGAGGGAGGAGCTTTTGGAGGGAAGAGCAAATCACACGGGGAGGGGGCCGAGGGAGGGAGAAGGGAAGAGAGGTCAGCGCCTGAGTGGCTTGGAAAGGCGGAGCTTGGCGCCTTCTTTTCATCCACACTTTCCAGGTCTAACTGTGGCTCTCTTCAGAGGAAAGGAAAGGGAGGGGGCTCTCCTTTCCTGGGAGCAAGGGCGCCTAGGGTTTGGGGGGGGGGGTCGGGATTGCAAGGGCTCCTGGGGTTGGAGGGAAAAGACCGATGCAAACTTTGCTGGGACTGGCTTTCTTGGCAGCTCTCCTTCCCTCAGGGAATGGTCGCGGGAGGAAAGCGAGGCAGAGCCAAAGGAGGGGGGCTCTCCTTTCCTAAGAGCAAGGGCTCCTAGGGTTTGGGGGGGGGGGTCGGGATTGCAAGGGCTCCTGGGGTTGGAGGGAAAAGACCGATGCAAACTTTGCTGGGACTGGCTTTCTTGGCAGCTCTCCTTCCCTCAGGGAATGGTCGCGGGAGGAAAGCGAGGCAGAGCCAAAGGAGGGGGGCTCTCCTTTCCTAAGAGCAAGGGCTCCTAGGGTTTGGGGGGGGGGGTCGGGATTGCAAGGGCTCCTGGGGTTGGAGGGAAAAGACCGATGCAAACTTTGCTGGGACTGGCTTTCTTGGCAGCTCTCCTTCCCTCAGGAAATGGTCGCGGGAGGAAAGCGAGGCAGAGCCAAAGAGTGGGAGCCTGGCCAAGGAGGGGTGGCCTCTGCAAGACAAAAGGCGAAAGGAACAAATGCAGAGAAGCAGAGGCCCCACTGGGGGAGAAGAAGAAAGTGGGGCATCCTCTGGCGTGACGCACGCCCAAGAGCCGGGCTTGCACACCTCCTGCTTGAGGAAGCAACTCAGCAAGCGGGGAAACTTGGAGCGCTCATGATTTCTGCGCCGCTTTTGATAGCGGGAGTCCGCCCGCTTGCCTTTCGAGCACCAAGAAGAAGGCCTGTCCCTGCCTCCCGAGGCGACCTTCCTAGGAATCCTCCTGGAGACGGGGAAGGCGGTGGCAGAGTGGGAAGCGCAGCTGGAGGAGGGTTTGCCACCTGTTTCTTCAGTGGCTTCGTGACTTTGAGGAGGCGCTGAAGAGGCTCGAGGCTCATGGCCAGGACTGTCGGCTTTTGGTGTGACCGTGACACTCCCTCCTCACACTAAACCTGCCTGCTCCCTTAAAAGCTTCTCCCAATGGCGCCCTTACCTGATAAGGGTCTAAGGCAGGCATGGGCCAACTTGGGCCCTCCAGGTTTAGACTTCAACTCCCACAATTCCTGGCCTCAGGCCCTTTCCCTTCCCCCTTCAGCTACTTAAGCTTAGCCCCTCCAGGTGTTTTGGACTTCAACTCCCACAACACCTGGAGGGTCCAAGTTTAAGCAGCTGAGGAAGAAGAGGAAAGGGCCTGAGGCAGGAATTGTGGGACTTGAAGTCCAAAACACCTGGAGGGCACAAGTTTGCTCATGCCTGGTCTAAGCTGAGAGCTGCTTCTCCAAAATACTGGGGACCAAAAGAGTTTCCAATTTTGAAATGTCTGTATTTGCATATATGTACCAAATGTCAGTAACTGGAGATGGGATCCAAGTCTACACATGAAATGCATTTATGTTTCATATGCATCTTATACACATAGCTGGAAGGTCATTTCATGTCAATGTAACAGAGTATTTGTACACTGAATCACCAGGGACCTCATCACATTAGAACATGGATCAACTTTATATCTGGTTGCTGCCTCCTGTAGCATTCTGGGACTTGTAGTTTAGGGAAGGGCCTTTAAAATGCTTAACCAGGCAAGTCCTGTGCCTCACTAAACTACACACCCCAGAATGTTGCAGGAGGCAGCAACCAGATTTAAAGGTGGCCCACCAGGTTCCAGTCAAAGTCTCTGGTTTCTTAACTCTAGAGATCTCCTTCTCTGTTTCCTGGCTCCGAACTCATTCCAATCTTGGGTCCTGTTGCCTGTTGTTCCAGGCTTCCATTTGAACCTCCCTTCTGTTGCCCATCTGCTCTGCTTTCCGTTTACAGATTGCCTGATGTTGCCTCTAACTCTCCATTCTGCCCCTAATTAGATTTTTTTTTTTTTACAGCTCCACTTTTACTTGTGTCCTCAAAGAAAAGCTTTGCATTTTGTGGCCAACTGTGAAAGAATGTAGCCTTCACATTACAAAAACAGTAGAAACTGTTTACAAACCCAAAGTATCTTTTCTAGCTACATCAATCTGCAGTTTACATACAATCTTTCAGTCTCTGTTTTTTGCTTCTTCCTCAATCAGTTAACTTGGTTGCATTGTGACTATCTAGGCACAAGGCTCTGAGTGGCATAGATGCTGGATTGTCCCACAGGATGGTATGGCTGGTTTGGGGAAAAAACCTCTGAGGATGTGTCTACTACAATGTAGACATAATGCAGTTTGACACTAACTGGTGGTATGGAATCTGGGAGTTGTAGTTTTGCAAGTTGAAAACCCGCTGGGTCACCTTGGGAAAGTGATACCTTCAGTACATGGGAAAAAACAGGTACAAATTTGTGTACAAACTTTAGGAATCATCTGGCATCCTGAGAGCAACCAGTGGCTATACATTTCTGTTCTTATTTGTCTGTTCTCATTTGGAGGTGAACTTAAGATCTTAACATGTCATGGTTTCAACCTAGTCCACCATATATAACAAACATCTGATTAAGAACACCCTGACGGGCTTGGATGCATCTTAGTTTTGTTTTCAACAACTGAAAAATATTTTATCAATGTATTAAAACTCTTCTTGCTAATTTCTTCTGTATCTGTAGGAGCCCCTGGTAGCGCAATGGGTTAAACCCTTATGCCGACAGATCGGCAGTTGATATCCAGGGAGCAGGGTGAGCTCCCATCTGTCAGCTCCAGCTTCTCATGCGGGGACATGAGAGAAGTCTCCCACAGGATGGTAAAACATCCGGGCATCCCCTGAGCAACGTCCTGGCAGACAGCCAATTCTAAAAATGTGTTTGTGTGTCTCTGGGTAATACACACACACACACACACACACACAGAGCATGAAAGAGAGATAAACTCCTATGCCCGTAGGACTAATACCCATGGTTTCACCTACACACAATGAACAAAATAGGATTTTTCTACATCCTCTAGGTCAGTGTTTCTCAACCTAGGGGTCGGGACCCCTGGGGGTGTCACAAGGGGGTGTCAGAGGGGTCACCAATGACCATCAGAAAACACAGTATTTTCAGTTGGTTATAGGGGTTCTGTGTGGAAAGTTTGGCCCAATTCTATCATTGGTGGGGTTCTGTATTCTATTTGATTGTAGGTGAACTCTAAATCACAGCAACCACAACTCCAAAATGTCAAAGTCTGTTTCCCCCAAACTTGACCAGTGTTGACATTTGGGCATGTTGAGTATTTGTGCCAAGTTTGGTCCAGATCCATTATTGTTTGAGTCCACAGTGCTCTCTGGATGTAGGTGAACTACAATTCCCAAACTCAAGGTCAATGCCCACCAAACCCTTGCAATATTTTCTGTGGATCATGGGAGTTTTGTGTGCCAAGTTTGGTTCAGTTCCATCGTTGGTGGAGTTCAGAATGCTCTTTGATTGTAGGTGAACTATAAATCCCAGCAACCACAATTCCCAAATGACAAAATCAATCCCCCTCACCCCACCAGTGTATTGGGTATTTGTACCTAATTTGGTCCAGTGAATGAAAAAACATCCTGCATATCTGATATTTACATTACAATTCATAACAGTAGCAAAATTACAGTTATAAAAAAGCAAAGAAAATAATGGTTGGGGGTCACCACAACATGAGGAACTGTATTAAGGGGTCACAGCATTAACAAGGTTGAGAACCAGTGCTCTAGGTGATTCTGTGGCATGCTTCTGCTAGAAGTTGTCTAGAGTTGCCCCGGAGGAACGAACAAATTCCTAGAGACAATAATTCTCTTACAATTTTCTAGACGTAGGTTT